TCTGTTGTGGTCTGAAGCTTGCCACCAGATGTGTTCTGGGGCCTCTTAGGATGGTCTCTGGTGCAGGTTAGTGTCAGATGCTTCCTGTGACTGTCCTGGGGCTACCTGTTAGGCATTATAAAGCGATCACAGTTAGTAGCTGCCTGTACTGGGCCTGGACGCATATGGGAGGGACCACACTGGGAACCAAGGCTAGCTAACACCAGTATCAGGCCTGGGGCAGACCAGCGAAAGGTTCAAGGCACCTTGAAACAAGCCTCAGCCTCTCAGCTGCCTCTAAGGCTCAGCTGCTGACTTGCGGAATATGAGTTGGGTTAGCCCAGTCACAAGGAGTCATTGGGGTGGAGCTGGTGGAGTTCACCCGACTAATGCAGAATCAAGTTTTGTAACCAAAACACATGTTCGGCTGCCTGCCATAACGAAAGCCAAACTTGTGAGACAGGTGCTGGTGCAAAAGGAAAGATGTTTATTCAGGTACCGTGACTTGGAAGAACAGTGGACTCCTGTCTCAAAGACCATTCCCCTTCCTGTTCAAGCCTGTGGTTCTTACAGGGATAGGGAGAGGATGGATTTTTTTTCTATTCAGTTATCTTGCTAGCTTTTGGCATGCTCAGGCCCTGTCCATTCATCTTTCTTGCGTTTGTGGCAGGCCCTATCCATTCATCTTTCTAGGTTTTGGTGTGCTTAGTGTAAGAACCTCTCCCTGGACCATCTTGGCCAGTGTGGAAGACTCCCCAGCACTCCCGGACTGTCTATGGTATCAGGATCAGTGGGGAGGGTGGGGGCCACAGGACCTGCTATCAGGAAGCCCTCAGGCCATCACCTGGAGCTGGATATGGCACTCTGAACATCTTGAGGAGCCCATTGGGGCACCCCTTGATCCTGGTGTGCCTGCATCCTCTGTGCAGACCCTATGCGGCCTGCCCCTCTGAAGTGGCAAGCCTGGCCCATTCTCACCCTGTCACTAGCTGCCTGCTCTCCAATTGACTGTCTATAGCAGCGGTTCTCAACCTGTGGGTCGCGACCCCTTTGGGGGTCGAACGACCCTTTCACAGGGGTCGCCTAAGACCATCGGAAAACACATATATAATTACATATTGTTTTTGTGATTAATCACTATGCTTTAATTATGTTCAATTTGTAACAATGAAATTGGGGGTCACTACAACATGAGGAACTGTATTAAAGGGTCGCAGCATTAGGAAGGTTGAGAACCACTGGTCTATAGTAACAATTTGGGTGCGTCAGGGAGGCTCAACACAGGAGCAACGGCGGTGTCCCTCCAGCCCCCACCCTGAATCCATACAATTCAGCCTCTCCCTGCTTGTCTCTGGCAACCCCAAGCTTCACAAGAATTTCTCAAGAGTTTTAAAGGAAAGACTGCCAAGCAGGGTCAGGCTAATTGCCCCCAAAACAGCCTTGAGCTATGGTGAGTTGGATGGGGCAGGGTCTCAGTGAGTCATCAGGGTAGAGCTAGCAGAGTTCATTAAGCCAATGCTTGTTCAGATTTGCCCAGGGAGGGAGGGCTCAACACAGGAGTTATGGCCCCTGTGGGCCATGTGGGAGGAGGGTTCAACACAGGGACAATCACAGAAGTCCCTCCACCCCTTACATGGAAGCCACCCAACTCAGTCCCTCCCTGTATGTCTCTGATGCCCACCAAGCCACTCTCCCTCTGCCAGTGCTCAAGGTGAGTGCCTGCAAGTGAAAGTTTGTGTGTTAGCCCCTTAAGAGAACACCTGGGTTTCCAGCAGCCTTTCATCTCACTGGCAAAGATGGAGGAATTCCTGCTGATTTCCACAGATGAGTCCAGATGTCATATGGTCTCTTCCTCCTGGCTCTGGTGTTTTGGGCTGGGGAGCCCAGCAGGTTGCTGAGACTCCTTGCTCCTCAAGGGGAACCTCTGCAGCTGAGATATATCTTTGGACTCTTAACCACTGCACTTGAGTGTGTGGCCAGCCTGTTTTGTGTCTACCATTCCTACCAGTCTTGACACAGCTTCTTTTTTATTTTTTTTATTTTTTATTTTTTTTTAATATATTTTATTGATTTTTTACAGAGAGGAAGGGAGAGAGATAGAGAGTTAGAAACATCGATGAGAGAGAAACATCGATCAGCTGCCTCCTGCACATCTCCCACCGGGGATATGCCCGCAACCCAGGTACATGCCCTTGACCGGAATCGAACCTGGGACCCTTCAGTGCACAGGCCGACGCTCTATCCACTGAGCCAAACCGGTTTCGGCCACAGCTTCTTTTTTAAAGATATATATTTTTTATTGATTTTTTATAGAGAGGAAGGGAGAGGGATAGAGAGTTAAAAACATCGATGAGAGAGAAACATCATGAGAGAGAAATATCGATCAGCTGCCTCCTGCACACCCCCTACTGAGGATGTGCCCACAACCAAGGTACATGCCCTTGACTGGAATCAAACCTGGGACCCTTCAATCCACAGGCCGACACTCTATCCACTGAGCCAAACCGGTTAGGGCAACACAGCTTCTTCTTTATATCCTCTAGTTATAGGACTTCTGTTCAGCTAGTCTTAAAATGATTATCCAAGTTGGTTGTTCTATAATTTGGTTGTAATTTTGGTGTGTTCATGGAAGGAGGTGAATACAGCATTCAACTACTCCACCATCTTGACTGGAACCCCTCCTGAAAGATTTTCTAACATTTTTTGTAATGAAGATCTGCTGGTAATTAATTCTAAGTTTTTGTCTGAAAAAGTCTTTATTGTTGAAAGATATTTTCACTGAATATGAAATTCTGGGTTGCTTAGTTTTTCTTTCAGTATTTAGAGATATCACTCCATTATTTCTGAAGTGATAGCATGACAAGAAAGAAGTCTTCTGTTATTCTCATCGTTATTCTTCTGTGTGTGATGTATTTCCACATTTCCCCTTCCCTTCTGCTACAAAGTTTTCTGTTTGTTTTTTAGCAATTTGGAGATAGCATGTCCAAGCTTTTTGTTTATTTGCTTTTTAAAATTTATATGCTTGGTGTTCTCTGAATGTCTTGGTTGTACTTTAGTGTCATTAATTAATTTTGAAGAATTCTTGGACATTATTCTATTTTTTTAATTCTATTTTTTCCCTTCTGGGATTCTAATTGCAAATATAAGAGACTATTTGATATTGTCCCACAGCTTTTAGGTATTCTATTCTGTCTTATTCACTCATTGTTTCCTCTTTGTGTTTTAGTTTGAGTGATTTCTGTTGACCTGTATTGAAACTCATTGTTTCTTTCCTCAGCTGTGCTGGTTCTAATGATGAGACTGTAGGAGGCATTCTTCATCTCTGCTACATACTTTTCATTTCTAGCATCCCATTTGACTCTTGTTAGTTTACAACACTCTGATGAAAATTTTCATCTGTTCATGTTTCTTGTTCACCTTTTTCACTCAAATCTTTAATATGTTAATCATAGTTATCTTAACTTTTCTGTCTGATAATTCCAATATTTGGGTCACGTCTGAGTCTGGTTCTCTTGATTACTCTCTTTTTTAAAAATATATTTTTATTGATTTCAGAGAGGAAGGGAAAGGGAGAAAGAGATAGAAACATCAATGATGAGAGAGAATCTTGATCAGCTGCCCCCCGTGCCCCCCACTGGGGATTGAGCCCACAACCCAGGCATGTGCCATTAACCATAATTGAACCTGGGACCCTTCAGTCCACAGGCCGAGGCTCTGTCCATTGAACCAAACCAGCGATTACTTTGTTTCTTGATAGTTTGTTGTTTTTTTCTTGCTTCTCTGTGTGTTTCATAATTTTTGGTAGAAAGTTGGACCTCTTACTTAGAGCTGTATATATTGATAAATAGTATTTTCCTGGAATTGGGCATACCCTGTTTTTACAGACCTTTAATGTGGGGATTGGGTCAATCTAGTAAGGAATGGTTACCTTCAGTGCATAACAGAATTCAAAATTTTCTAATGTTACTTTGTGTTCACGGTAGGATAGGGTGGCCAGAGGGTTTTACTCCATACTTCTGTTGTATCTCAGCTTTAGGCTTGAGTCTGCATATCAGGGAGTTTTCATCTGTTACTCTTGCCCCTGCCACAGTAGTACGTTGTTGTTATTTGATACTTGGTAATCGCTAATACGGTGCAGGGTTGAGCATGGGCTATGGAGGTTGGAGAGCATACTCTTGTGCCAGTTCAGTCTTAGTCTTAGGCAAGTACTGTGCCCCTGAGTCTCAGTGTTGGGGCCTTCTTGATGATCCTGCCCCTCCCTAGTGGTAGAAGCCCTCTAACAATCAAGGCCCAGGATATTTTTTGCTGCTATCTAGGAGTGAAGGATTTTCTTCTCTTTTTATTTCCTCGCAACACTGGGTACTCTTAGAGTGACAGGGTTTTCTGCCTTGTCTCCAGTGGTTGAGGCTTTTGTTGATAGAGCAAATGGGGAGGAGGATCTGGGTGAGGTTTGAGTATTTCCCATAGTGCTGTCCCTTCCCTCCTGAGGCCTCCAGCTAGAGAGGGAGCCTTTTTCTACTCTTGCACCTCCCGTAAGTCCTTCTTGTGAACCTCTGGTGAGATCTGTGGCCTGCAAGTGCGTAAAAACCCCTCTTGAGTTCGTGGCTCCCAGGGGTTCTGTGTTTTCATGCTAGCCCCAATTAGGCAGTTCATTACATTCTTAATTAATGACTTCTCTTCACCGGCTTGTATGAAGCCTGGCACCTGCCCCAGAAAGCAATGTTTGCATCCTGTCTTTCCTTAGAGGAGCTGTCTTTCCTTATATTTCAGGCCATTTGGCTGCCGTGTGACTTTAATTCTCTGAGGGTTCTAGAAAGGTTAATATTTTGAAGTTTATTCAGCTTTCATTCGTTTTACAAGCAAGGGCAACAACACTCTTTCCAGCTTCTACATCTTTGAGAATGTTTTTATTTACTGACTTTTCAAGGCCCAAGATTTGAGTTTTGCTGCTTCATTTGGGTGCAATTAAATTTTGATTCTCAAATGAACTAGCATTAAAAGCATGGCTAATGTCCTTGCAGAAACTTGGGGACTGTGGCAGCCGTGGAGCCAGTGTAGTGCCACGTGTGGGGATGGTGTCAGAGAGCGTCGCCGCCTGTGCCTGACTTCCTTCCCCTCCAGACCTGGCTGCCCTGGAATGTCCTCGGAGACCTCCCGGTGTTCCCTGGAGGAGTGTGCTGGTAGGTATTCTTCTTCCTTTAGGGGTCTCTCCCAGAGAGATTGTTGAGCCAACGCCTGCCTGAAAATGACCAGTCTGAGTTCAGGAGTGACTCATAAAATTCTGTTATTTCTGTTGACTGTACTAACCCTGTACTCATTAGTGTGTCATTGACTGAGAATAGCTCGTAGTGAGATGACAGGGCACTTAACACTGCAGAAGATAGGAAAATGACAAATAAATTTATCTAAATTAAAGGTTCAGACATATGAAATTATTTTTTAAAATATAAAAATGGGAGAGGTGATCATTTTCCCCCAAGATTTTTTGTTTTTACTTTTGTTTTATTTCTCCCTCCTTTACTTCTCCTCACCAAAATTGTGGAGAAACATTAAAATTTTATTCTTCCCATCATCCCAGAGAAGCTGCAAGGGACTGTACAGTCCAATGTTTGTCGAAATGGGGAAGACTTATCCCCTGATGGCCCTATATTTATACTTGCCAGCCCTATCCAGGAGGAGAAGGTGGGGAGAGTTCTTCTTGCCATCACCAAGAGATTGGCCTTCTCTTCACCCTCTAAGCATCTTGAAGGCTCAATAAGAATTTGATGCGAATTGACTCTAGATGTGATGCTCACATGGCTCAATTAGTTTGCTTTAGTCTATGGAGTGGAATCCAATTCATTTGCCACAGGTTGCAGTAATAAAGAGCCCTTGTTCTTCCTATACACCATTCCACCTTCTGATATATAACCAGTTGCCCATTAAGTTGGCCAGCCTTTGCTCTGGTCCTGACTCTTAGATAAAATCCTCCTGTCAAGTCCTGACTTTTCCCACTTTCCAACTCCAGGTGAGAAAACCATTCCTACTTCCTTGTCCCTTCTCATCTTGAGAAGTTAGCTGTTTTTCTGTGCTTGGATCTCAGGGTATCTTTTAGCCAAAACTACAGGCACCTGGCAGCACTTTGGTCAGTGCCCAGGTCTGTGACCTTAGAAAATCGTTCTTGCTATCTTGTTTTTCCAGCCAGTGCTACAGTCCTTCTTCCCTTTATTCCAGTATCCTAAAGATGTTCTCACCTCTGTATTTTTTATATTACAGCTTCAGACCCAGGCTCTTTCCTAGCCCTGAGCTTGCCTCTCTTTTTTCATAAGCCTTGGGCCACACCCTGAGTCTGTCCTTTCTCCAGTTACCTCTCATACTGTTTTCTAAGGCTTTCTTCTCTGTCTACTCTTTTCTTTATAAGTTTCCTCCACTTTCCACAGTTTTTTCCTTCTGTATAACTTTCTTCAGATACATTTATTCCTTTGAATTCTGAAATGTCAGGTTGTGTTAACATATTCCATCTAGAGTTCATAATTCTCAAGTGAATTTAAAGTTAATTGCCACTGGCTTTAACTGCACCTTGATATTATTGGAGTGACCATTTACTGACCATCTGCTATGTGCCAGCACTTTAAATACATCATCTCTAGAACAAAATAGATCCAGAGACATAGAAGCATGGAACAGTCTAATCTCAGAGGGAAGGGGGGGAGGGGGAGTGCAAGGGAAGAAGTTAACCAAAGAACTTATATGCATATATGCATAACCCATGGATGGACACAAGAAAATAGTGTGTGTGGTGAAGGCCTGGGGAAGGGGATCAGGTGTGGGCTAGAAGGTGTCAATGGGGGAAAAAGGGGGCATCTGTAATACTTTCAGCAACAGTAATAACAACATCAAATACATCATCTCACTTAAAGCTCTCACCTCTACAAGGGAAGGATTATTATACTGGGCTCAGATCTTGAGAGCGTGCTGCCTACCCAGCATTTTCCTAAGTGCCTTGCACACATGAAGTAAGTACATCGTTATCTTCACATACAGATGAGGACTTTGTGGCATAGAGAGGGTGAGTGACTTGCCCAAGACCATACAGCTGGAAATCAGGGGACTAGATCTGACTCCATAGTAAGCTACCTTTCTTGAATACTTTGCCTTTATATACAGGCCAATGTAGCTTTCTAGAAACAACCTGAAATTAGCAATCATTTTTTAAAATATATTTTATTGTTTTTTTTACAGAGAGGAAGGGAGAGGGATAGAGAGTTAGAAACATTGAGGAGAGAGAGACATCGACCAGCTGCCTCCTGTACATGCCCCACTGGGGATGTGCCCGCAACCAAGGTACATGCCCTTGACTGGAATCGAACCTGGGACCCTTCAGTCTGCAGGCCGATGCTCTATCCACTGAGCCAAACCAGTTAGGGCTAGCAATCATTTTTGAGGATATGTGATGTTATTTCATGTTCTGGCATCTAAACTCTTTAATGAGTGGGAATTAGAAATCTGTACATTATAAATTAGCAAAAAGGGTAAGTGCTACAGGCATCCCTACTTCTTCTATAGAGGTCCTCAGAAAAATGCTTATGTGGATAAATATGATAATTTCTTTCAAGTGTTCTCTGTCTCCTAATCAACCTACCTTCCACTCCTTGGAAATATAGAGGTCTGTTTGCGGGCTACTTAGCATCAGGAAATCTACATTTCAGGTGAAAGAGGAAAGATTAGATGAGGCCGAGATCGACGAGGGTGGCAGCTTTTGGGCTTTTCACCTGCTGTGGCTTTGAAGGGATCCAGCCATGTCACAGATAACAGCTAAGTGAAGAGCCCTCACTTAGCTGCTATCCCTGAGCTCAGCAGCCACTGAAGATGAAAGAAGTGATAAGTCAGGAAACAAGTCTTTCATTATTCAACTATTTTCACTTGGTTGAGGATTGAGAGTTTTGTTTGGCTTTGAAAGGATGTTTTCATGCCAAGGTCTGAGTCTAGTTCTTTGTTAATTTGGTCCATCTTGTTCAACACAAGAGGAGGAGGATCCAATTGCCATTGCACCCACATTCCGTAGGTGCATATTGGTCATTTTGCTATTACCTTTTAAATAATGAATTGATTAATCATTCATTTATTGAGTACCAGTTATGTGCAAGTTACCGTGACTGGGGTTGATAATATATAGAGAAGACATACCCTGTCTGGAAGGGGCTTATGATAGGTTGCTCAGCAGATACTTAAACAGGCATAATATGCAGTACAATATAGAGCCTGCACTGATAAAGGTATCCACAGCTTGCTATGGAAGCTCTCAGAGATGATAGCCCATGCTGGGAACACCTCTGTTCTCGGAGGAGGTGATATTTGAGCTGAAGTTGGAGAGCTGAGGAGGTGCTACTGAGGTGAACTTGGTGAGAAGGGAACTTTTAGCAAAGGGAGGAATCAAGCATGGAAGAAGATGGTCCGGTGAAGTGGCTAGAGGACAGTGTGCCAGGAGGGAGTGGTAAAAACAAGGCTGGACAAGCTGGCAGGAGCCAGATCCTGAGGGGCCTTAACGATTTGGACATGTGTTTTGGAGGGATCTCTTTGCTGTAGTGCAGAGTACAAATTGGGGTGGGGGGGAGTGGCAGCAGCAAGGTCTGTTAAGAGTTTCCCAGTGACCCAGGTGGAAAATGAAGCCCAGTGTGGGTTGCAGAGGAGGGAGGGATTCACAGACTCTGGAAGTGGCAAATGACAGAGAGGGAAGCATCAGGATGAAACCCAGGATTCTAGGACTGGCCAGTGCACAGACAGTGCTGCCATTCCCTTGATATCAGGTATATTGCAGGAGGCATAGGTTCTGGGGAAAGATGGCGAGTTCAGCCATTAGGTTATTAATGACCGCAACAGAAGCCCTTTAAACCAGCAGTCACCAGCCGGTGGTCTGCAGACCACTGGTGGTCCGTGAGGTCCAAAAGGTTGGTGAGTGCTGCTTTAAACCACTGGAATCCCCAGGAGCCAGAGGTGAGGATGTGGAAGTAGTAAGTCAGCAAAGGTGGACTCCTCTTTCTGTAAGTTTAGCAGGGAAGACAAGGAACAGGCTGTGGCTGTGGCAGTAGTGAGAGGATTCCAGAGATGTCTTTTCCGAGTGAGAAGAGCTTGAGCATGTTTCTGTGGCACTGCATGGAGGAGATGCGGGAGATAATTGGTACCGAGGGGCAAGCCCCCTGGAGAAGGGCAGCCTAGAGAGCACTTGGTGTACTTGCCTTTATAGGAGGACACTTCTAATTCTGTAGAGAAAGAGGTAAATAGAGGTGCAGTTGCTGGTAAGTTTGTGGCAGGGAGAGTATAGCAGAAGCAGCTTGGGTGCTCTCTAGGCCACCCTTGCCTGGTAGCTTCTATTTTTTGTGTGACCTAGCAGACTGCCGAGGAAGAGGATTGGGTAGGGGGGTTGAGAACGTGTTGAAGCTTTGAAGCAGTATCGTAGATGTTGGAAGAGAGAGTTGCTTAGGAATCCATGGAAGGATTTGGGTACTGTCAGCAAGTGGAGGCACTGGCTTGCTGAGTGAGTTATTTTCTTCACCAGGGCCTGGCTGCAGCAGCTGGAATTCACATGTCTGAGTTTATCTAGGAATGGACTTTTGTTGTAGAGCAGGAAAAGGGGTATAACTCAATATTAGAGGTCAGAGAGTTGAGTTGTAGGGAGAGAAGAGAGGCCAGGATGTGGCTGGCAGATTGGGAGAAAATGGAGGGGTTGCAGAATCAGAAATTGCAGTGAGCTTGAACAGCCAATGTAGTGACAGTGAGTGAGAGGGAAACACAGCCAGAAAGCGGGCTATGAAATGGAAGCCTTCAGAAGAGGAGCCACGGCAGGCAGTGGGCAGGTGTGATATGTTGGGTGGACACCGAAGTCACCTAGACGGTCCTAGCTTTGGGATGGTGAAGAAGACGGGGACCCAGGTCCTAGCGACTGATGGCTGCCATGAGGTTGGGAGTTTACAGTATTTAGGGAGGAGTAGGGGAGTCATCTAAGTGGATGGCTTCTAATAAAAAGAGTAGAAGTTTTGTATGGAGGTGAACGAATTGGTTGAAAGTGGCAATTGGAAAGGAGAGGGAGGACACACCTGTTGCTGGCCCTATTTGCTTATAAAGTTGGTGTCCAGCTTCCCCTCAAGAGTGTGGAGGAGAAGCTGTGCCCTGCAGTCATCCAGGCCTCAGGTAAGGCCAGGAGGTGAAGGGAGTGTCTGGTGGAAAGATTCTGGATGTTGACGAGCTTGGTTGTCAGGTGTCCCAGAGGGACCATAGGAAGGAGAAGAGAGCAGTGGGAGGACAGGTCCAGGGCTGGTGACAATAAGACTGAGAAAAAAGATCAGACAAGTGACTGGAAGGACTTGAATGGTGGACAGTGACCAAGGAGGAAAGAGAGGTGAGGTCTGGTGGCATTAGTTGGTCTCAGGTTCCCAGATATCTCAGTGGCAGTTCAGGCTGCAGCTTCAGATGGCGTCTGAGTATTGGTGAAACATTTTGGTGACTGTGGGGCAAACCAGTTTGAGAGAGCAGGGAAGAAGAAGAAAAAATCCAATGCCACATGGAAGTATGGAATGGGAGTGGAGAGCTGAAAATGGCCAAGTGAGAATGAGGAGGCTTAACACTTAGGAAAGTCAGTTCCTGGATATTAGAAAGGAAAACTGAGTGACATCGTCAAAAGTCTTATTTTCACGTATGAATTTCTCTTACAATCTACTTAAATTATTTTGCATTTTGAGTTTTATACTTGTAAGAATTTCCTGATGTACACCTATCTCAAAGGTACACTTAACTATTGCTGTCCCATGTACCTTAAATGAAAACTTTCATTTTACCTTAAAACTTTCCTCATGCCGCTTCTGTGTAGAAAATTGGAGGCAATTGTCAGCAGGAGCTGTGAGCCCAAGTCACCTTTATTGTGGCTTATCTGGTCACCTCACTTCTATGGGTCTCCGTTTTTTAGTTTGGTTTAAGCTGCCAGCAGAAATACATAGTCAAGACAAATTCTAGTCCTTGATTAGTTCACTTTGTCTTTAACTTCCACATAATTAGAGCAAGCCACTCAGAGATCTTAAAACAATGCAGAGAAAACAATTCTCAAGAACACATTTGTTTTTCCTTTTTTTTTTTTTTTTTTTTTTTTGTAGTTTTCCAGCCATCTAGTCCATCTCCTCTTCAGCCCCAGGGTCCAGTGAAGTCCAACAACATTGTGACGATCACCGGGATATCCCTGTGCTTGTTCATCATCGTTGCCACCGTCCTCATCACGCTGTGGAGGAAGTTTGGCCGTCCCCCGAAGTGTGGCACCCCCGCCCGACACAACTCCATCCACTCCCCAAGCTTCCGGAAGAACTCCGACGAGGAGAACATCTGTGAGCTGAGCGAGCAGCGTGGGAGCTTCTCGGATGCAGGTGACGGGCCCTCGGGGAGCCCGGGGGACATGGGCATCCCCCTGACCTACAGGCAGAGTGTGCCAGTGACTCCTGAGGACGAGGCCTCTGGCAGTGAGAGCTTCCAATCCAACGCCCAGAAGATAATCCCCCCTCTATTTAGCTACCGGCTTGCCCAGCAGCAGTTGAAGGAGATGAAGAAGAAAGGCCTGACCGAGACCACCAAAGTGTACCACGTGTCTCAGAGCCCCCTGACAGACACCGCCATTGATGCTGCCACGCTGCCCTCAGACCTGCCCTTAGACCCAGACAGCCCAGAGGACGCTGCAGCAAACAAGTTCCGGATCAAATCCCCCTTTCTGGAGCAGCCTGCAGTGGGCGCCGGGGAGAGGCCTCCCTCCAGGCTGGATGTGCCTGTCTCTCAGGCCAGTTGTGCTGTAAGCCCCAGCCAGACCCTAATCCGCAAGTCACAGATGAGGCACGTGGGCAGCCGAGGGGGGCTGTCGGAGAGAAGCCACCCCAGGAGTTTTCATTTCAGGAGGACGGCCAGTTTCCACGAAACCAAGCAGGCCCGGCCATTCAGGGAGAGGAGCATGTCCACGCTGACGCCCCGGCAGGCCCCGGCCTACAGTGCGAGGACGCGGCCCTGGGACCAGGCCGAAGGCAGATTTAGACCTCAGAGTCGAGGTGCTGCCCTGTTTCCTGAGAAACGGGACCATTTCCAAGGAGCAAGTGGAACCAGTGCTCCATTAAGCTCTCTCCCTAAATCCTGCACCTTCAGGCAGCCCGTGAGGAAACCAGACCTAGGGTTTCGCCAGGCAGGATTAGTGGCGGGAGGTGAGAGAGCAGAGCCTCCCAGAGCTCGGAGGGGCCCGTCCCCCAGTCAAAGGAGTGTCTCAAGGAAGCAGCCTTCACCCACTGCTCCCAAAGATAGCTACCACAGGGTGAGCCCTCTGAGCCCTCCTCAATGTAGAAAAGACAGGTGTCAGAGCTTCCCGGCTCACCCGGAGTTCGCCTTCTATGACAACACGTCATTCGGCCTCACTGAGGCCGAGCAGAGGATGCTAGACCTCCCCGGGTATTTTGGGTCAAACGAGGAGGATGAAACCACAAGTACACTCAGCATGGAGAAGCTGGTCATCTAGTCCAAGCTCAGCCTGAGACTTTACACACCGGTGTCCTTTGCCCAGCTCGTGTTATTCTGTGGATTGTTCCGTATAACTGTACAGTAGGACAGAATGTAGGCAGGAAGTAACGTCTGTGTGCAAGCATTGTAATTCATAAGAAAGAGGCTATTTATCCTGAATTTTTCCCTTTGTTATCCTATTTCTATTGGTTTATTACTAATAACTACAATAATAAAATTTGAACGAGTGAAATAGGGCTTGGTCTCTCATGTGGGTATGAAAGATGACAGAAGGTGATTTGTGAGTGGGAAATGCTGTGAACACTTCTTCGACGGTTTCCAACTTGAAACAAATTTGGGAGTCTCAGCTGTAAAAAGGGCTTGAACAAAGTGAACTTGCTAACCCAACTCTGACTTCTAATTTATTGTTATAAATACTTAAGAATGTGACACCTACAGGGGCATTATTGAACATGTTTTGCTAATTAAGTCAGTTCTGACTATTATGTGGTCGGCTATCTGGACATGGTAATACTGCGGGATATTCCAGAAGAACTTTCAGGCCAGAGTTGTGTGATAGCTTATGTGTTTTTTTTTTTTTTTATTCAACCAAGAGTTCTGGTGACTTGTCACAAAATTATGAGTTAATTCTGCTTTGGAGAAATAATATAAGAAGCCGATTGTTCAGGTACTGAATCAAATGAAGACCTATCCATACATCCATCATTGTTCTGAGCAAAAAGTAAACATTTTGGAAAGGGAGGTATTGTGTCCTGAAAGAGCATCAGCGGGAGCATGAGCCGTGGGTGCTGTCCACCACCCTGCCTGCATCAGCATGGCTGCCAAGACCCCAGGGGCTGTCTGAAACTGGATGTGTGTGTTTCTGAAGATAATGCTATCATATTAATCAGAAAGTATGTGAATTAATCTCAGGTATATGGAAAGTAGGTGGACTAGATTATGCTCTTACGGCTTGATCTTTTTTAATTGGAAGATAGAGTAAAGAGGAAAGTCTTTTAGAAATTTAGAATCACTTTATTTTCTGATTCAATCTGCCTGTCACATTTTACAGACGAGGAATTTGAGGCTTAAGGAGGGTAATTCACTCCTGCAGAGGTGGATGAACATGGACTCATTTTTACTCTAATTACTAAGCTCTGTGCTCTACCACCACGGCCTTGGCAAGTCTTCTCTCACAGTGGCAACTTCAGGAAAAAGCTGAAAAAGCTGGCCCTTTGGCAGGAGGAGGACAGAGAGATGCCTTTACTAGTTTTTCCCAAAGAAAGGAAGCTTTCTGCTGCTTGTTAGAACTGGTTTTGCAACTTGCTTTGTTTGGAGGTGAGGGCTACACAAAAGAACCTAAAGGTTGGGCTCCTTCAGTGGAAGTCTGCCATCAGGTACCATGTGGGCACTCTGCAGTAGGGTGTATTCTGCAAGAGCAATCTCAGCCCTTGAACCTAAAGCCTTATCTGCATACACTTGAGTAGCTGCACTTTCCTTATTGTTCCCCATGACCTCTCTGGCTGCCGCACCCACCCTGTCCATCAGCCCGTTTTCCTTCTTCCTCTTCGTGTTTATCAGGATGTCAGCCTGCTGGCGAGATGTTGGAGAGCATTGGAGAGCGTGGAATTAGATGGGACAAAAAAATCACAGATGCAAATACTGTATTTTTTAAAGTTTCTCTTCTGTTTGTTGTATTAGTGCTTCATTTGTGCCATTATTATTGAAAATTAAAGCATACTTCCTTTTGGCAATGCTTTAATAATAACTATCTACCTTTCAGGAACAGGAGGAGTAGATTATTCAGTGGTGTCTGACAGCTGGTATGTGCTGATACAGAAAAGAGGAAACCAAACTTTTTAATTTCCATTTTCTTTGTTTATCATACTAGAACGCTTTGTTCTCTTTCCAAGTTCACAGGCTTATTGCCATCCTGTGAGGACAAAGGGTACATACTCACTTATTTCAGACCTCAGTGAATACCTCTACAGTGTCAGACCAAAATATCCACAAGGAATGTGAAGAGTCAAGAAAAACACTATGAACAGAAGGATTTTCTGTTAAATTATGTTCTTCCACAGTATTTATTTGTCTAAGCTAATATCACAGTTGCCTAATACCAGCATATACCACATTCACCATCTATCTAGTCCAGTGTTCTGTGCCTCTTGCTAAGAGTCAGTCTCTATATTTCATAGTTAAGTTAATTTGGCCTCACCTCTGAGAAACAGAAAAGTAGATGCTTCAGCATTGTCTTTGGTGGATAAGTGCTAACCTTCATTAGAAATAATCTTATATTCTGCACCATGTGTCCCTAGGTCCTAACCCCAGTGGCTGCCAGTAGGTAGGAGCTCAATAAAGATCTATGGGACAAAAACGAGCTACTCAAAAGCCCTCAAACTATATTTGTGGTTGAACTAGAACAATTCTAATACTTTAAATATTAAACCATTGTGAATAGGATGTGTTCCTATGTGATATTGTGGAATTTTAGTTTCTAGAAGTCCCCCAGAATGAAAGCCTCACCTTTTGGGGATATTACCCTCATTGAAGAAGAAAGTATCTCTGGAGCCTATTGTAGTGTCTGTACACAGTAGTTGCTTAATAAGTATTGGATGTTTGAGAAAGTGGCATCCAAGTGAATGGTGTCCCCTACCTTTCTAGTGAGTCTCTTCCATTCACTCCACTACTCTGGAGTCTGCCCCACCTCTTTGGGGCAATTGCTCCCCAATTGTGACTTCTAACGTGGATTTGATAGTGCCCAGAGCATTCCGTATGCCAAGCCCTTGCCACCACTACCTGAATGCTAATCCAGCCCTTCCTATCAATTTTTTCTCCTCAAGCACTAGTATACTTCATCCTGACCCACAAAATATAAAACTGCTACTACTTTGATGATTTCTTATTTTATTCTAGATATGTAACTTGTAAAGCGACATTGTACAGTTTGTAGTCTGTGCAGTCTCTGAGTCATTTGTATATACTAATGACACTGTTTAAATATTATAGTATTATAGAAACATAGTATTATAATACTATAAATTTATACCATCTGAATATACACTCAGGTCATACCAGCTGAGTCATGATTTGGACAAAAATAAGTAGTTTGGCACAGTCAAAAGCATACAAGTTGAATCCTGACCCTTCTCTTTCTAGCTGTGTGATCTTAGGCAAGTCATTTAATCACATGAGCCTCCATTTTTCAGATGTAAAATGGGATAACCCCTGCTCCTATTATTGGTTTAGGGTGGGGACAAGCATACATAATTATTTCCTCTCCCCCATAGGACTCAGTTAAAATTATAGAAAAGGTACAAGATCAAAAAGTTTAGAAGACAAAAGGATAAGTGATTTCAATGAATTTCTTTAAAAAAATATTTTTATTGATTTCAGAGAGGAAGGGAGGGGGAGAGAGAGAGAGAAACATCAATGATGAGCCCTAGCTGGTTTGGCTCAGCGGATAGAATGTTGGCCTGCAGACTGAAGGGTCCCAGGTTCGATTCTGGTCAAAGGCACATGCCCAGGTTGCTGGCTCAATCCCCAGTGTGTGTGTGTGTGTGGGGGGGGGCGGTGCAGGAGGCAGCTGATCAATGATTCTCATCATTGATGTTTCTATCTCTCCCTTTCCCTTTCTCTCTGAAACCAATAAAACTATATTAAAAACAAAAAAGAAACATCAATGATGAAAATCATCAATCGGCTGCCTCCTGCACACCCCCTAGTGAGTATCGAGCCCACAACCCAGGCTTGTGCCCCTGACCGGAATCGAACCCAGGACCCTTCCATCCACAGGCTGACGCTCTATCCACTGAACCAATGAATTTCTGTAAGACAAAGTGCATGGGAGAACACCAAGTGGAAGAAATTATAGGTCAGGTTATGCTTGGAGGGTCAGAGAAGATGAGGGAGCCTCCCTATGTGGTAGAACCGTGCAGAGGTTGGGGATTCTAGGTTGCTAGAATGAAGAGAAGACAAAGACAGTGAAGATCTGTATATGGAATGGTCACCCTCCATCACTGCTCCTCAACTCTGGTGCCAAGAACTCCCTGCAACTATGTGTTCAACCAAACACAAAAGCAAAACTAACCAACCAACCAGGAAATGACCAGAGGGGACTTTTCTAAAAACAGTGAAGGATCTTTCTGAGGAAACTTGGGCAGTTGGAGCTGTCATTGGTATCCTAGTGCAAAGCCATCTGTACTCTGGCATTTGGAGGCCTTGCAGTGGTTCTCAACCTTCCTAATGCCGCGACCCTTTAATACAGTTCCTCATGTTGTGGTGACCCCCAACCATAAAATTATTTTCGTTGCTACTTCATAACTGTAATTTTGCTACTGTTACGAATTGTAATGTAAATATCTGATATGCTATATGTGTTTTCCGATGGTCTCGACCCACAGGTTGAGAACCGCTGCTAGAGCAATGATCAGATTTCCGACTGTTCACCCTAAATGGAAGCCTGCCAATCAGCCAGTTCCAATCATGGTTTAGAGTTCTAGTCGGCCTTTCTCCTGTCTCATTTTTCAGAATAGCCTGACAACTGAGAATCTCCAAACATTTGAGAAAGCCTCCGGTATGATGAAGAAAGATAAGTAGAGAAAAACTGACCCCAGAGGAAACATATAATCTAGGAAATTCAAGAAAAATTGTATAAAAACTCTGCAAAACTAATTATAAAGAATGTTCTTATTTATTAAAGAAGAACATGATGCTGTTAAAAAAATCAGAAAATGGGAAGGAACCCTAGGAAATGAAATATTTAATGGGAGATTGCAAGCTAAATTAGAGAAAATCTCCCCAAACCTGGAGCAAAAATATGTAAAATGAGTGTATTACACACACACACACACACACACACACACACACACACACACACACACAAGATCAATCCAAAGGGGGTCCAATAAGAGTAATAAGAATTCCAGAAAGAGCTGAGAAACCAAGGGGAAAAGACATTAAAGAAATGATACAATGAAAATTTCCAGAATGAAAGATGTGAACTTTCAATCAAAAAGGGCCTCCTGAGTTATGATTAGGGGCAATGGGAAGGGCCACATATGACTTGGAAGTTTTAGTTCAATAAGCTATACAGAGAAATCCTAAGAGCTATCTTGGGATGGAGGAGTGCAAACTCCTACAAAAAACAAAAATCATGTTGGCATTAGATTGTTATTAGCTATACTAGAAACAATGGTATAATATCTTCGAAATTCAGCAGGAAATAATTTTCAACCTGGGAAACCTATGCTT